TACACAGGAGTATGCAGGATCATTTGATATTTTGGTTTGATTTGATTATTGGAAACCATCATAACAAACCTAAATCTTCTTGAGAAAATGACTTTGTAACAATTACAGCTTAGTGGAAATAAAATATTATGATTCAATTTAAATTATAAAAGTATTTCATTTATAGTGAAAGATTATTTCAAAGTTCTTCCATCATAGACTAGAGCTAGTGGTTCTCAACCTTCTGGCCCTTTAAATACAGTTCCTCATGTTGTGACCCAATCATAAAATTATTTTCATTGCTACTTCATATCTGTAATGTTGCTACTGTTATGAATCATAATGTAAATATCTGATATGCAGGATGGTCTTAGGTGACCCTTGTGAAAGGGTCGTTCGACCGCCAAAAGGGTCGCGACCCACAGGTTAAGAACCGCTGGACTAGACCTATCACTTTCTTAAAGACCAATTGCTCCATCTACTGGACCCAATGGGAATACCATACCCACCAAGTATTTAAAAGAGATTCCCATGGTTCATATCCGGGTGCCCACTCAAAAATAAATAAATAAATAAATAAATAAAATAAAATAAAAGAGATTCCCAGCAGGAGCTATACCTTCTCTAGGGGGTCTCTTGGAAATCAGTGGAAATATATTTTGGTTATTACAAAGAACAGGGATTTTATTGGCTTTCATTAGGTAGGGTCAGGAATGTATGAAGTCCTCATCAACAAAATATTGCTCCACTTCCAAGGGGGAACCCCCTTGTATTTATTTATCTGAGCTTGAAACTTAACATCACTTTACATATAAAAACAAAATGTTTACAGTTTTACTACTCAACCAATTTTCCAGGAAGAAAATTATGGCATTTCACCAGTTGTAAAATACAGTATTATTTAAATATCACCAAGAAGGAAAAAACAAACAAACATTGCCAATTAAACTATGATGCAATGGCCCTGGCCAAGGTGGCTCTGTTGGTAGGATGTCCTTCTGTGCACCAAAGGTTGCCAGTTTGATTTCCGCTCAGGGCACATGCCTGGTTTTAGGCTGGATCCCCAGTAGGGGGCGTGTGGGAGGCAATCAATCTATGTATCTCTCTCACTGGGATGTTTCTCCCTTTCTCTCTCTCCCTCCCTCCTCCCTCCCACTCTCTCTAGAATCAATGGAAAAAATATCCTCCGGTGAGGATTTTAAAAAATGGCCTAAAATACACCTATCTGTTTTCCCCTCTCAATCCTTGTTTCTCACTGGTCCTTCTCTTACTTAAAAGTGATCATAACCTAGGCTCACCATCATCTACAATGAAGAGTCATATATAATCACAATCACTTCTCTACTGTGATTTTCAGACAATTAAAATTAGAAAAAAATTATTTTTCCTCGTTTTCTGTATAAAGTCAATCAAATATTCCATATCACAGCTTTTCCAGGGATAGAAGGACAGTATGAGAAGGATTTCTCCAAAATGTCTCAGTATTATTTAGGGAAATTACACTCACCAGAGTCCTGATTACATTTACATGTACCATCTATCACTGGAGTTTTTCCTAACATTTCCAGTTAGTGCATTAATTTTCCAAGTAAGCAGAATCAGAGAAAATAACAGGATAACATTATGTAGACAACATAATGGTGACTTTGACAAATAAAGATGTCTTCTAGGACTGGTCACAGCCTGGCACTGCCTTCTGCTTAAAAATAGAAGGCATATTAGAGTAAAGAAGTTTCCACTTCAGGCCAAATTAAATTATTCCAGTTCCAAGACTGATAATAATTTCATGGCAATTAGAAGTGGGCCTTGTGGAAAATTCCATTATTCATTCCTTTTTAAAAAATATGTTTTTATTGATTTTAGAGAGACAGGAAGGGAGAGGGAGAGACAGAAACATCAATGAGAAACATCGATTGGCTGCCTCCTGCATGGCCCCCGCTGGGGAAATTACACTTACACCCTGGGCATGTGCTCTGACTGGAAATCAAACCTGCTACATCTTGGTGCACCAGACGATGAACTGAGTCACACCAGCTGTGCTCCATTATTCATTCTTATCTATACAAAAGTAATTTCAGCCATGCATCACAGAATCTATATCCATTTCTTGCAGAGAGAAATGAAGTTAAGTCCTGGAATCATTACCTTGGTTTGTTCAGGAAGCATTAAAAAATCGGAAATACAGTGTTGGTAGTTTGAGGCTTTGCTATGTAAACTCACCTAACTATGTCGGTCCATCCAGAGTTTGTCATACAGTGTGACCACACAAATGTAAATTATTTGCAAAACAAAACTGTTGTTTATTTTTTAATGCTTCCGTAGTCTCTGATGCATATATACAAATTCATTTTGACTAGGATTTTCTTCCTGGAGATAGAGAAGCCCTCCGGTTTCCTGGTGACAGGTAGGGAGGAAAGCAGGGAGGAAATCTGCATGCCCCTTACTTCTCCAAGCACCAAGCTGCAGGCAAGAGAAACTGTATTCTATTCTGTAGGGAGCGGCTATCGGGTTAAGTCTCTGGACTGAACCGGTTGGCACAGCCACAAACAAGTCCCAGCTTAGGGGGCACAGCCCTCTTAGCATAATTAATCTTGACCTTCTGAGGCTCCCTAGATCTTATCTGGGTAGCTAATGGGCTGTGGGAGGTGCAGCAAGTGCTGCCAAAACAAGTGAAACTCACAAGAACACTGTAACTATGGTGACCACTACCTTGTTTACCTCTGGCCATAAAATAAAGGCTCAGCTTGCTGTCTGGGTCTCTCTCTGTGGCCTCAGTCAGGCACAGGAGTATCCACCTAGAGTCCTAGACCCAGCTTATTCAATTTGTCTTTCGCCGCCCCCTTTCAGGGTCACTGAACCCTTGACTGAGCTGGCACGGCACACTATTCATTTGTTCCATTATTAAAATTCTAATAACCTATGCAACGCTGTGCAGTGTGCTAGGCACTAGGTAAACAGTGGTAAACAAAAACATAAGTTCCTGAGGTCTACTTAAAAATGTTTTGTGGTAGATTTTGGCTTTAAATTTGTCTTTCTGTATATTGCATAAGTAAATTTCTGGTCTCGATAACCAAAAAGAAACTCAAAATATGAAAAATCAAGTTGGGTAGGACCTCACAGGGTGAAGGGGGTGCTACTAGGAAAAACTGGAGGCACATGTAGATGCAATACACAATCTCAACTCAAGAGGTATTCATCTCATATTACTTCTGTTAACAATTACCACAAACTTAACTTAAACCCACGCAAAGTAATTATCCTACAGTGTTGGGAGGTCAGGCATCATAAAATCAAGGTATGGCAGAGCTGCTTTCTTTTGCAGGCTCTTTGGGAGAATCTGTTTCCTTACCTTTCCAGCTTCTATCTAGAGGCTGCATTATATTCTTGGATCCTGGTTCCTTCCTCCATCTTCAGAGCCAGCAGCATAGTATTTTCAAATCTCTCCCTTCTCTCTCTCTCTCTCTCTCTCTCTCTCTCTCTCTCACCTTTGCTTTGGTCATCATCTCTTCTCAGGCTGACACTCTTACCTCCGTTTTATATGAACACAGGGTCCACCCAGATAATCCCCCATAACCATCCATCTCCAGACCCTTAAACTAATCATATCTGCAAAGTCGCTTTACCAGGTAGAAAACACATTCATGGGCTCTGAAGATTAGCAGCTGGAAATCTCTGGGAGTCATTACTCAGCCTACCATAGAAAGCAAAGAAAATAGGAAAAAAGTGTTTGGCCCTGACCAGTTTGGCTCAGTGCATAGAGTACTGGCCTGCGGAATGAAAGGTCCCAGGTTCGATTCCGGTCAAGGGCATGTACCTTGGTTGCGGGCACATCCCCAGTGGGGGTGTGCAGCAGGCAGCTGATCGACGTTTCTCTCTTGTCGATGTTTCTAACTCTCTATCCCGTTGCTCTCTTATCCATGTTTCTAACGCTCTATCCCGTTTCTCTCTTATCCATGTTTCTAACTCTCTATCCCTCTCCCTTCCTCTCTGTAAAAAGTCAATAAAATATACTTAAAAAGAAAAGTAGTGTCTTCTGTAAAAAATCAATAAAATATACTTAAAAAGAAGTGTTTGCCTCTTTTACACTTCAACTAACTGCATGTTGGCATTCTGCAAGTTTATTTTCTACTTTAAGACCATTTTGGTTATCCATTTTAACTGGCTTTTCTTCCTAAAATGGTGGCAGGTGGTCTTTCTCCAGAGTATTGGGAATCTCTAACCCTGGTTTTCCTCACAAGTCAACAATCTGAAAATAAAACCACCAGAGACAATGGCATAACTCTTAAAGGAACTCTAGGAGCTGATTGCCATGAATACACACTTCCTTACAGCCAAACTTTCTTCTTGCAGAACTAAATTTGTGAACAGATTAGTCATTTATGGGGCTGGAAATCGCTTTTCTATTTTCTACAGTGAGGGGCCATTGAGCAAGACTTAGCAAACTGATCCTGGCTTAATTCTTGCAGACATTATGCAGCACAAGTTCTTGGATGCAGATTATAAATTTAGGATGAGCAAGGAGTAATACGCATCACCGAGTGGTCTGTGCTCCCAGTGATGTTACAGGCGGGTACTGATATTTTCATGTCTCTTCTCCTTTGAGAAAAGGAAAACAATCTGCGATTCATCCTGGTTTAAAAATACAGAGAAGATTTTTGCTTTCGAACATGATGGAGTAACGGGGAACAGACTTACCTTCCTGCCTAAGAAATACCGAAAACCAGAGAAAAGTTTTTATACAAAGTATGCAGTGCAGCACTGTGGCCCCTACAATTACCCCAGCGTATGTGCTGGAGGCAGGTTCCAGGTGCATTGTGGGGAGGGCCCTCAGCGCCGTCGGTCTCCGAGTCCCTGGTACATTTACTCACATGTAAGTCAATTTATCGCGCCAACCGATACACTTCCTGTCAGTGAGAAGGAGAACGCGCTCGCACCTGGCAACAGCGGCACCAATCACAGGCGCAGCGAAGTCGCGCGGTGAGCTCCGCAGCTGTGACGTCACCCTCACGGAGACTCTCGCGAGACGAGACCGGAGGGTGGGAGGTGCCAGACGCCGCTTCGCTTCACACCGCCCCGGCTTCTGTGAGGAAAGCGGCTGCTAATCTACTGTTGGTCTGGCTGCTACGACCACCACCATGAGCGGCCTGGATGGGGCTGAGGGGGCCCCTCTCCTCCAGCCCTGCAGCCCCGATGCTCCCGACGGTGCCACCGGACCCCCCGACCCACACCAGGGCCCGAAGCTCCGTGAGGAAACCGAGGCGGCACAGGTGATGGCGGAGTCGGGGGAGGGAAGCTTGGAGGCCGTCGCGCCCCCACGGGCCCAGCTTCCAGAGGAGGAGGGAGCCTCGCACGACCCTGCGGCCTGCGGCCATGGCCCCCAGTTCGGAGTCGGTGGGGGTCGCAGTTTCGGGGCGCCTGAAGCGGAGCTAGAACAGGCTCCGCCCCCCGTCGGGGCCCCGGGGCCTGGCGAGCTCCGCGGCGCCGGCGCGGAGAGGCCGGAGGCAGAGGTGGGGGCCGAGGCGAAGGCCGCGGATGAGGCGATGGTGGAAAAGGAAGGAGAGGAGGAGGAGAGAGTAATGGAGCAGGAGGTGGAGGTAGAGAAGCCAGTAGGCGAAGTAGTAGAAATGGCGGAGGCAAACAGAGCGGTGGCGGAGGCCGAGGCAAACAGAGCGGTGGCGGAGGTGATGGAGGGGGCACGGCGCCGGCCCCTGAACGTGAATTTCCGGCCCCTGAACATGAATTTCCGCGTGAACCTCCGCATGAACCCCCTGGAGGCCATCCAGCAGGAACTGGACGCGGTGAATGCCCAGGCTGACCGGGCCTTCCAGCAGCTGGAGCAGAAGTTCGGGCGGATGCGCCGTCACTACCTGGAGCGGCGGAACTACATCATTCAGAATATCCCGGGCTTCTGGGTCACCGCCTTTCGGAACCACCCCCAGTTGGCCCCCATGATCAGGGGCCAGGATGCCGAGATGTTAAGATACATCACCCATTTGGAAGTGAAGGAATTCAGACACCCGAAAACTGGCTGCAAGTTCAAGTTCTTCTTCCGAAGAAACCCCTTCTTCAGAAACAAGCTGATCGTCAAGGAGTACGAGGTCAGAGCTTCCGGCCGCGTAGTGTCTCTCTCCACTCCCATCGTGTGGCGTCGGGGTCATGAACCCCAGTCCTTCATTCGCAGAAACCAGGACGTCGTCTGCAATTTCTTCACCTGGTTTTCAGACCACAGCCTTCCAGAGTCTGACAAGATTGCCGAGATCATCAAAGAGGACCTGTGGCCAAACCCTCTGCAGTACTACCTGCTGCAGGAAGGAGTCCGTAGAGTCAGACGTCGCCCGATAAGGGAACCAGTGGAGATCCCCAGGCCGTTTGGGTTCCAGTCTGGTTAAACTTTGTCCTTGGGACTACCTCTGCACAAGGTCCCCTGACTGCTTGCTGAAACCTGTGCTGCAGCAACGGAAAGGGGTATACCTTCTACTGTTTTTTCCCCTGACTTTCTAAGACCTTTTTCCTCTGGACATTTGTTTACTCAACCGCAAGATTGAGACCTTCATGGCCATGCTTCTCCACTTCTACACAGCCTGACTTTTCCATTGATATGCAACCTTCATGCTGTTGTGCATTACTGTCACATTCTGCAAGGCCAGGACTCACACTACTGCTGAGCCAAGTAACTATGCTGTATATTTCACTGCCTTTTTCTGCACTGCTTGGACTTTTTGTTTCCAGGGCCTCTGGTGTGGTGGTTTTTACACCTGGGATTCTAGCTTTGTCTAGAGGCCTGTTCTATCCACTCTGCTCTGCAGGGCAGGCATATAGCCTGTGGACTTTTGCACAAAATAAAGCAACCAGAGACACTGGAGAGCAGCAGTGGGCCACTTGGTCTTTGTGACTCCATTGCTCCCATTGCACCTCTGGTTGTGCCCACTCCTCTTAGCCTGCTGACTACTGATGAACATCTTCCAGACCATTGTCAGCTCCTCTGATTTCTGGTGAACCAGAATCTCCAGAACTGGTGGTGGACATGAGTTTCCTGCTAGCACAAATTTCCTTTCCAGCCTTTCCATTTCTCTACCCAAAAGGCATCTCAGTTCCTCACCCCATCTTCCCTTGATCCCCATCATCCAATAGCCCTACTTCAGGGAAGTGGTTGAGGTGACAGTTTAGATCTTGTCTTCATGACAAGTATAAGGATGGTGTCCAGGCTTTCTCAGCATCAACTAGTGAATTCACACAAAACTTAGGTACCCCTGTGTACCTTCTTTCCTCATCCTGAAGTAATTGTCAGGATAGCAGTACACTTTCTGTGTGTCCCTTATCTCAAAGAAAAAAAAAAGCTTAGAAACATCTGCAAAAGCAGATCTTTTAGTTAATTTGGCTCTCCATGATTTCCAGGGACACTTCGACTGGTTGCCTCCTCACATGTCCTGACCGACCAGGGCCGGGAATGAATCTGCAACCCAGGTACGTTTTCTTGACTGGGGATTGAACCCACAACCCTTTGGTGTAGTGGGTCAGTGCTCTAACCACTGCACACACTGGCCAGGATTTTTTTTATGTTGTTAATCCTCACCCAACGCATTGATTTTTAGAGCGAGTGGGAGAGAGGAAGAGGGGTGTGAAAGAAACATCCATGAGAGAGACATCGATTGGTTGCCTCCTGCATACACCCCAACCAGGGCAGGCATCAAACCTGCAATGCAGGTGCATGCCTTTGACCTTGACCAGGAATCAAATTGACAACACTTCAGTGCTTGGGCCAACGCTCTAATTACTGAACCACACTGGCAAGGGTGAGAAGAGTTATTTAAAGAAATGCAACTTTGGATGTTTTCTCGTTTTCATTTGACTTAATTTATGTAGATTAATACTGTGTCCTTTACTTCACTAATACTTAGTAAAAACCTGTTGTTTTCTGTTTTTGCTTACTAGGAAAATTGAGTTATACAAGCTTTCTTTGCTTTTGTTTGGGAACATTTAGAAAAATAACAATCTTTCCAGTACAGTACGATATAGAGACTTAAATGAATATTCCTAATGGTTTTCAACTTGTTTCTGTCAAAACTGCATTCTTAGAAATATAAATAACTTGATCTTGTCAGATTATCAAGACTTTGGAAATTACTGTCTTCATGGAAAAATAACCTGCCAAAACAGCGTAGCTTGATTGTCTTGCTTGATAATTTGCACTGGTAACAACTTATTAACAATTTTGCTTAAGTACTTGGGAGATTGCTCTGTCATTGTAAGTGTATCATTAACATATATGCATGATGGTAAAATAAAAGTATGTTACTTTGTTAAGAGTTCCTATTTTTCACCCTGTCAACAAACACGCTTGAAGAAATTATTAGAGTAACAGATTATGGAATTTAATAAAGTTCTTAAATGGATACAACAGGCATTATCCAAAAGTAAATAAAATATGGCACACTACTACACCTTGAAAGGTAGGAAGGGATGTTGCTTTTGTTTACTTTAAAATGTCAACAATTGCAGCTGCTTATTCATGATGTCAGTTTTTCCCCATACACTTTGTGCAGCACCCCCACTCCACTCCAACCTTAACTTCCTTAAAGCTTCCATTTTTGTCTATATAGATAATAGTTTCAGGTCATTCAGGCTAGTTTTAGTCATTTGTGCATTTAATAAGCACACATTCAGAGAATTCTTATCATAAATGATATACTCTTCTATCCCATACTTTCTCAACTGTAGAAACTTGTTTGTTCTTCAAATCTCACCACCTTCTATCTCTGTCAGATCTTTCAAGGCCTGTCAAAAATAACTCTTTTGTTTTACACTTTTTCTGTTCCCCTTAGGGAAGATGAAACTTTTTTATGTACTTGGTGTACTTTGTAGGATTCTCTGTTCTAGAAAATAACAAAGTAATTCATTATATTGAATTCCATGAACATTTGTTAAGGCAGCTGTCAGGCCCCCGGAAGATAACAAGTGTAAGAGAACGCATTCCATTTATTGTTAAAGAACTGGGGAAAGACTGATATGTAAACAAATAATTGGCAGAGTGATAAAGATTTATTTCCATGTCTTTCACTGTCCTTTTCTGGCTTGGAAGTTTTGTGAAAGCAGAGATGGAAAAGGATGTTTTTACCTTTGTCACTGCATCTAACTTAATGTACATAGTTGTCACCAGATAAATACTGGATGACAAAATAACTAAAATGGAGAAAAGAAACAACCTAGTACCCAGCCAAGCATGTCAAACAAGGCTGGCAGGCCGCATGTGGCCCATAAGGAATATTTTTGCGGCCCAGCCAATATAATGGTATGTGAGGAATGTTTTAATAAAAGTTTGTAACTTAATTTATACAATATCCTGTTATACACAATTATTAATAACGAACTACAACGTTCACTAATGACTGATTACTCTAATCCTGTTACATGCATTTTCCGTATGCCCTTTATGTGCAGGTGCACCATTTCTCTCCACTAATACTAGCAGCTAATATTTTAGCAGCTGATTGCCACGTCATTTGTCTTGTACTGACTTGTTTGGTGTGTGCAACAGGAAATATTTCGCTTTCAGAGAACAAGAAAAATAGGTTTGTGTTATACTTATTTGTGTAGATATTCAGTGTCTGGTAAGTTAATGTTCAAGAAAAATTTAATTTTTATTAAAATGTTCCATTGTTTTATATGTTAACGATTACTCATTTATTTCAGCCCTTTGCATTCAGCTAAATAAAACTTTATTTAAATATCTAAATAAACCTGTGTTTCCATGAAAATTGAAGCTTTTGTTTTTTTGTGGCGCACATAAACTTAAACCTTATTTATTTGGCTTGTGTTAGCCTTTGAGTTTGACATACTTGACCCAGAAAGACTTGATAAGGTAATGAAAAGAAGAAAATGGTTTTCAAGGTATTTGTAAAATTTATGTCAAAAAATTTATAAAGCCTTTATTAAATAAAAGCAAAACTTAGAAAAAATCCAAACACTAACATTTATTAACCTTTCACTTGCCATCTTAACAGAGCATCAACTTGGGATCAACTTTTATGTGCTTTGTTTTTGTACATCTTAAGGTGACTATTCACCTGGAGGTTGAAGATCGTTACACTTTAGACATGTGCTGTCCAATACAGTAGCCACGAGCCATCAATGGCTATTGAGCACTTTAATTGTGGCTAGTCCAAATTGAGATCTGCTGTAAGTATAATATACACCCTGGATTTCATAGACGTGGTTTAGAAAAAATGTAAATTAAGTTTTTATGTTGATTGCATTTGAAATGATAATATTTTTGATACACTGGGTTAAATAAAATGCATTATAAATTAATTTCTCATCCATTTTTTAAGTGTGGCTACTGGTAAATTTTAAATTACATGGGACAGCATGGGTCTATACTTCTTGAGTATCTCAAAGTATATAAAAATATCTAAAAATCAAACGTTATCCTTTCTCCCCATGAAATTTTTTGTGATTTTAGGACAAGGCTTATCTAGTTTAAATTCAAGTTGGGTAAAGTATAACTAGAGGCCAGTGGGTAAAAAGGATAATGAAATGAAATGCCTTTTATAATCTTGTTCTAAGATATACCCAATACTTCGTAAAATGTACGGTGTAAAACTACTTTTCTGGATATAAGTAAGGTAGATCTGGGTGCCAAATTGGCACTGATGGTTATATTGGTTTAGTCTCTAGTGATATTTAGGACCTATAGCTTCATATTTTTCTAGAATAAAATATTCTGGCCCTGACAGGTTTGGTTCAGTGGATAGAGTGTCGACCTGTGGACTCAAGGGTCCCGGGTTCGATTCCAATCAAGGGCATGTACCTTGGTTGCGGGCACATCCCCAGTAGGAGGTGTGCAGAAAGCAGCTGATTGATGCTTCTCTCTCATCGATGTTTCTAACTCTCTATCCCTCTCCCTTCCTCTCTGTAAAAAATCAATAAAATATATTTAAAAAAATATTCTGTACTCTTTGGCTTACAGATGTACATGAAGCTCAGAAAATAAAAGTAATTTCAGTCATTAAATATATCATTTTGTGTATGTTACATGGGCTGCAAGTTTTAGTTGTTAGCCAGCAACAAAAAAATATCTGAATCTAGCATTACATCAAGTCAATGCAATGCTCACCACTTGAAGAAGCATATTTGATTGTTAAAAATTAGTGTGCTAATTGCTGCAACAGCAATTATTATTTTGTATTGGATACTATATTAAGGATTATATGGAATATAGATATTGTCCTTGCTCTTGAAGAACTCTATCTCATTGGGGGAATATCACTCCTCAGATGTTTTCTCATACTCCAACCAATCACATGCACAAGAAAATGGGATTTATGTGGTCAAGAGGAGGACCATCCCCTCAGGGCAAACTTCTCCCTCCACGTTAATTTATAATTGAAGTGCCTAGACTGTATAGAAATAATAGATATAATCTTTATTAGTATTAATTATTAATTCCATGTTTGATTGAAGTGCTTTGTTTCAGTTCTGAAGGGCCACCTTGATCCATTTCCTTTGACCTCAGAATTTGTTAAGACCCACTGAAGAATTTCCATCAGATCAAATTAGGAAAACAATGTCTACTTTTTGGCTTCATGTTCTCAGTACTTGCATTTAATGTAACTTTCTTGAGAACAGGCCAGGAAGAAACGGTTCTATTAAAAATGAAAAGGGGCCTCTGTTTTTCTCTCTAAAATCCATAAAGAAAACATTTTTTGAAAAAAAATTTAAAAGTAATGAAAAGGGTCATTTAAATAAGCTGCTAATTATTATGAATACCCAGATGTCTTTCTGCTGGCCTGAAGAGACAGGGAAAACACACTAGCTTTAAGTTGGGATTAAATCACA